TTCCAAAAGGTGAAGTTTTGCTATTCCTCCCCCCACCCGCACCTTCACATGTTGAACAAAACTTTTTTTTTTTGGGGGGGGGGACCAGCGGCCACTCCCCCACTTCTGGCCGGATCACTGCAACGATCTGAACCAAAGTTTGCCCCCCCCCCACATTCCCCCACAGCCTTCTGGGACATGCCACAGGTACCAGAAATCTGCGGGACCAATCAGCGCAGTGAGCATCCGGTGATGAAGCCGCAAGCATTCACAGCTGGCTGCCCACAGGCCCAAAGTTAGTATGCTGGCGCTGGGACCAAAGCCCGGTGAAGAAAGCAGCCGGGTGAGGACAGCGCTGGATCATGGCACAGGTGAGTGTCTGTTTATTAAAAGTCAGCAGCTACAGTTTTTGTAGTTCCTGACTTTTATTTTTTCCACAGGTGACTGAAATACCACTTTAATCTCAGCTGGTGAAATTCAACATTGTAGATTGATCTTTCCCTAAAGTTTATCTAAATGCAATTTTTTTTTTTCTTTAATTTTGGATAGGGTAAGGCAGGAGTATGACCTCTTTTTTTTTTTTGCCATCTGTTTCTCACAAGGGAGATTTTCCTTCACTTCCTGTCCCATAGCCAAAACAGGAAGTGAGAGGAAATCCCTCCAAAGTGAGGGAATCCCAGGTGTCACCAGGGTCACCAAAACTAGTGTCCCCATTGGAATATTTCCCTTCTATTACTGTTCTGGTTGCAGCCAAACATTTTGGATATTCTTTTACTTTTACTTTCACTTTCATTGACAACAGTGAACAAGACAAATTGAGAGGGTGAATCTTCCTAAGGGAGGGGGGGGTACAGACACCAATAAAAACTGACAGGTGTTCTAATCCCTCTCCACTCTATCCAAAACTTAAAAATTTAGTCTTTAGTTACACTTTAAGGACTGATCATCCAGGGAATGTCTGTTGGCACAATCTTAAAGCCAATAGGTAATGCCGGACAGGGACATCAAACATCAAAACATCACAAAGCCATCAATATATATGCCTGCCCGCCATCATTTTTGTATATGATGGTAGATTATTGTAATGCCAGGAAGCAGGGACACTGTAATGTGTTAAATGACTATCTCTCAGCACTTCCACTTTATGCCATTATTGATCCCCCCCCCCCCATATATTGGTAGCATTGTGATCTTTTGGTATCCCTGTCCGGTATTACCCATTGACTTTAAGATTGTGCCCACAGTCCATTGCTGTGTGTATGCCCATGGTGATATTCTATATGAGTAGCCCTGTATTGTGTCATCTAGTCCTCTCATGTTGTTCTTAGTTCTAGTTCTAGGATTTTTCAGCTTGATATTTGGCTACCATATCCCAAGATAATACAGGAAAGTAGATACTGAGGAAGCAGCTTGATCCACGTTGATCCACTAAAATTTGTAGAGTGTTCATTACACATTTAACTAGGTGTTTCTGATTGATGTGATTTTTAATTATCTATTTCAATGTTCAAATAAAGCCGTATTTTATTTTTATGTATACTCCCTCTTAGATTGTAAGCTCAATGGGCAGTATTGAACTGTATCATTGCTGTATTGTCTCCCTTTATATGGTAAAGTGCTGAGACAACTGATGGCGCTATATAAATTTGTATAATAATAATAATTGTTGGTACATAAAAAATAATCCCCAATCCAGTCTTCCTTTGGGGTTTTTGGAAACTTTTCTTTCTTATTTATACTGTTGACAAGTAAGGAGGTGGTGCCTTGTATTTATCCACAGAGGCTTTCTACTCTCTGTCAATGTAGTGGAATTCCGACCACCTTCAAAAGAGGGGAAATCTTCCTACTGACCACAGTGTAAGGGCATGTTTCTCCATTGACCCCAAATATTTGATAGGGTTCTCCAAGACCTGAAATTTTTTAAGGGGTTGCTCTGCAGTATAAAGGTTACTTTAAAGTGTATTTTTGTTCTTTAATGAACATATGTGTCAAGCAAATGCATGGCCCATTTGGCAAACTTAGTTTCCTCCATACATTTGTGATAAAGTGCCCCAGAACAAGTGTTCTGATAAAGAAATGGCTACAAGCTCCCATGCATGTTGGCTCTGTCTTGCAGGCCTGTGGCTTGTGCACTTCAGGTATATCACTTTCATAGACAGCTTTACCAACCAGTAGTAAGGCATGGGAGGGTACACTTGGAGCTGATTGAATGCTTCCATATCAGCACACCCCCACTTTTCTGGGATCTTGTTATGCTCTGCCATAGGGCTAACAGGCACTGTGAAGGGACCAACTCCCCTATATGACTGCCCTTTAAATATGTTTATATGACAACATATTAACTTCATGGCTGGTCATACACTAAACAATCTGATTATACAATCTCTGTACAATGTTCTTTATCAGAACTATGTAATATGAGAACAAACCTAGACAATATTCATCAAATCAGATAGGAATATTAGGAATTCTGTTCTGTGGGATTAATTTTTCTGACCATGTCAGTCTGTTACATGGATCAATTTATTTAAAAAAAAATCAATTTTTATTAGACCAACAAACGATCAGCTTAGAAATAGACTGCTAATTCATGTCTGGGGGGTAGCCTGACTCCTACAGCAGATCAAACCCCTGACACCTATTTATTTCTTGTATCACACTTTTCCCAAATCGTACTTCAGTATCTCACAACTAAAATGACATTAATGTAAAAAGACCCAAAAAGTAACAGTTTCTGCAGGGAAAAAAAAATATCACAGATTATTCCGGGGGAGCATCAAAGGGGAACTAAAAACTAGAGCACTCAGAATCTGGTGCAGCTTTGCTTCCATCGTAGCCAATCAACTTCTAACTTCAGTTTGTTCAGTGAAGCTCTGACAAAAAACTGGAAGCTGATTAGTTTCTATGCAGAGCTGCACCAGATTTAGCAGTTTTAGTAAATCTCCCGAGCCGCGTTGTTTTACTAAAACTGGAGCACTCAGAATCTGGTGCAGCTGTACATGGCAGCCAATCAGCTTCTAATTTATGGTTGTTCAATTAAACTTTAAAAAACAAACTGGAAGCTGATTGGTTTCTATGCAGATCTGCACTAGATTTTGCTTTCTCCTGTCTTAGTAAATCTCCCCTGTATTAAGTTATCTATTACCTTTGGGGCGATTACTATGCTGGTAATATTATACAGTGTACATTTCGATTTTGTTAAATCAATACTACCACCATTCTTGAATTATAAGGATATTATAGTAATTCTATCGCACACCTTTCAGGACTATGGATTGTGAAGAGAACTAATATATACTGTCCATAAGGCTTTCACTGCCAGGAGTCCCATATCAGCGGTCACTGAGCGGACCATAGCCGGACGGTCCCGACTGCTGCGCTGCACAGGACACTGGCATCTCATACTGATAAATGTAAAGCTATACAAGTTGTTTCTTGCTCCCTTACAGTTCTATAATTTATAGGTCTATAAAACTTATTCCTAATAATATTATCATTTTTATCATAAATGCTGTTCTCGCAGTCCTTCTCGTGCATATAAAACTAGTAGCATATGTTAAAACAAGAAAAAGAGATCATATCACTGTTCTATGTTTGCAAAATATTCCATACAAATATTATGAAACTAAAATAAAAAAAAGGAAGTAAAAAATAAATATGCATGAGCAACTGTGGAGGTTTACGTAACAAGACGTTATACATCTTATTTATATTTTTGAATTAAAAAAAGTGTTAATCTTCCTAATCAGAATCCTAATTGAATTGCAGTCACATTCTCAGGAGTTGGTAAATCTAGTTCCGAGGTCCCAGAAAGTCGATTTGCCGGGTCAGTGTTTACACAAAGGATAGGGCAGGTGTACAATCACCGCTAATCAATTACAAGGAGGAATCCATTATATGATCAGCTGCCACACAATAGTCCGCATTCACACCTGTGCCAGGCTCAGGGGACCAGGACTGGAAGGGTATGCTGAAACTTGTGGTGCAACAGTGATAAGAGCATCACGGATCTGTCGGCCGATGTATCAACTATTGCCAATATCTCACTGAAATATCACAACCTGCAAATCACACTGCGTAAAAAAACGTTTACGTAAAAATACCTATTGATTTCTAGTACAGTAAACCTGAATATAAAATATTAGCTTTGTTTTTTTTTTTTTTACTTTAAATTCCGCTATTTAAAATGGGATTATAAAAATCTGTTATTTTTTATATTCAGTTATTTAAGAATTTCCCGAATGTTTTTTAGAGCAATTTTTGCAACTAATTGTAATAATAATACATTTTGTAAAAGTGTTAATATTACATTTTGTAGATAATAGCAGTAATAATAATAATACTATTGGTAATAATATACCAATGTTTTTATGTACAAACATTATAAAGAATGTATTAAAAAGCAAACCAGATTTATGGAGAATCTGTTAAATAATTTATTGAATATACAAAGTTTTTTTTTCCAGTAACTGGAGGACAATATTTTAATCCAACTCAAATAAACCATTTTATCTTTTTTTTTTCTTTGACTGGGGTGTCAATGTGGAAAACTTCGAGAGCTTTTTTTGCATTGGGAAGAAAACACACCACAAAATTGTGTAATCTGATATATACAAAGTAGGAGGAAATGCAGCTGTACAAAAAGTAACAAAGTGTGTTTGTTTACATATATATATAATATATATATATATATATATATATATGTGTGTGTGTGTGAGCGGTGTCTATAATTAGAGTGGGGGGGGGGGGGGGGTCTTGTCCCCCCATATTCAGTCCCTTTTAACCCAATTTACAGGAGCAATAAGATCATTTTTATAACTTATTCTGTAAAAAATTATATACATCTCAACATACATTTCAGCTGTACAACACATAGCACTTTTAAACATACACTTACAACTCTTATTTATAATTGGAATACCCTGGTCATTTCAGCTTGTAAAGCGCTTTTTTTGGAGGGGCTGGGAGAGGTCCATGGGTGTAGGGAGGATTTGGAGAAGTCACAAGTCTCTTCTTGAGGATCACAAGGTGTCCGAGTTATTGCTGCACGGACTCAACAAGTTCAAGTTTGTGTTTTTTGTGCTTTTTTAACAACCTGGAGATTTTCTCGTCGTCGGAGTTCGGATCCAGGGGCTTGTTGTATTCATCATCGTCCTCATTATCCGAACTCTCCTTCATCTTCTCTGTCTCCGAATCGTGTTTTTTCTTGGCCGAGGCCATTTCTGCCGCATGACGCTTCCTCCATTTGGTCCTGCGGTTCTGAAACCAGACCTGGACAGAGAGAGAGAGAGAACATACTATTATTATTATTTTATTTATCCACTGGAATCATCGGTGTCCAGTCACCATATCGGTTTCACAACTATCAGTGTAATATAAACTCTCCTCAAACTGTCTCACGCCTTCATTTCTGTATATAAATAACGTGCACACAGATATTAAAAAAAATAAATACAGCTAAATATTCAGTAAGCAAGATTATGCCTGATTACAGTGACACATACACAATAGATAGATATGTGTGTGTGTTCGTAAAACACAAAGTAATTTTTTCTTGCTATCCAACATTCTTTAGAATTTGACTACTTCACTCACAAATATATATTTAATAAAGGTTACATATGCAATCGAGTTACTATGACTCCACACAATACATTCCCCTAGTATTAATGTAATATGAAACATTGGTGAATTTTGGAATTTGCACAGAACACTTTTTAACAGATGAAATGTATTGGTATCACTGTAACAAAACACAATACTATTTATTGTGTGTAATTGTAGGTATGTGGTTAGATATTGTTATGTATGCATTTATTTAGATATTTATCTGTTTGCATTTGTAAGTATGTATTTAGATATTTATATGTGTATTTTTTTTATGTATATATGTTTTAGGTTTTTGTTTTTGTATTAATGTCTTTTTAGATATGTAGAAGTTCCTGTAGTTTGTGTGCATATATGTATTTATACATACTTAAATGTGTGTATATCAATACTTATTTGTGTGTATTTATTTATATGTGTGTTACAAACAATAGAGTCGAAGCTCCAACCTCAATTTAAATTGTAAATAGCAAAATTAAATAATGTTTCATATTGCAAGGAAAAGTACAAATAGATATCACGTTTCCACAATGTTTCTTGACACACCGATAATGTTACAATGTAACGTTTCTGACAAGGCAACGTCAACATGTGTATCCTGTAAAATGGCAGGGTCTCCTCCAATGTACTGCTATTGTATGTGTAATATGCACAAGTGCTGGTTTACAAGTACTTGTCAGAAGAAATTAACTTCACCAAAATATGTAGAATGAGTCAACAAGCTCAGCTGCAACTTGATTCTTTTTTAAAGATGGGGAGTATAATCGCATTTACATATATTGGTGAACACAAAATTATTTGTTTACACTCAGTTTAATCAACATGCATAGCAACTGAGCATCAGATTATTAACAATCTTAAAGAAAACCCAAGTTGGCAGGTTTTTTAATAAGCATTCAGAAATAATTAACAGAACAATGCACACCTGACCCGAATATTCACTTTAATACAATCATGTGAAAAACAAATTCCTGTTTACTTATTTCAACTGCACATGATTGGGCATTCAAAGTGAACATGAATTTGGTTTTTACACGGTCAGATAATTAAAATGAATAATTATAAAACTGTAAAAAAAAAGGCCTGCTGTCTATATATATATATATATATATATATATATATATTTTTTATTATTGTCTATTATCCCTATAAAAATTAAGAATTATATAGGAATGAAGAGGCAGGTGTATATAGGTGTCCGTTTGTGAACCAGAGGTAATAGATCGCTGCTCAGTTCTCCGGCATTCTCGGAGAACAAAGTTCTCCTGTGAATGCAGTTTATGAAGCAGTTCTCCGAACGAAGGGAGAACGGTTTCCAAACGCTGGATAACGGTATACAAACTGTGAAAAACGGCTCATTTTACTATAATCTCTCCAGATTATAGTAAAAGACCAGTTTACTAAACAGAGGTAAATTATCTCTGCTTAGTTTTCGGTCCCTCTGATTCTCCAGCTCTGGGCTGGAGAATCTGGACGGAGAACACAGATCTCCAGAGAAGGGCTGACAGGATCTCCTGAGTGTTATAAACTGTGAATGACCAGAGAATAGCTGAGATCTGTTGAATCGCAGCTATTCTCTGGTTCACAAACGGACACCATAGTTTTACTATTTTCCACATTATATAATGTGACATTGGGGGAGATTTACTAAAACTGGAGCATACAAAAATCTGGTGCTGCTCTGCATTGTAACCAATCAGCTTCTAGGTTTTATTGTCAAAACTTAATTGAACAAGCTGATTGGTTACTATGCACAGCTGCACCAGATTCTGAGTGCACTAGTTTTAGTAATTCTCCCCCAGTGTGCTGACATGTGGACCTTCTATAACTTGGATCCTGTCAATATGAAATAGATGTTTATATGTATAAACCTGTCAGATCCATAGAGTGCAATGTGAGGTCCAGCTCTTACCTTAACCTGAGATTCTGTCATGCCCAGGGAGTAGGCCAGGCGAGCTCTCTCCGGGCCTGCCAGATATTTGGTCTGTTCAAAAGTCTTTTTCCAAAGCAAAAATCTGCTGTCCTGAGAATGTGGGTCTGGAGTGCTTCTTTTTGCCGTCTTTATCCAGCACCATCCCAGCCTGGCCTGCAATGAACAACCAAGACGTCAGTTCACCTACAGCACAGGAGACATATGAAAGCTATTTACTAAGGGAGTTCAAATGATCACTTCGTTTAGTGATTAAAATGCGGCTTTGTTCATTTTGAATACCAAATTATGAGCAAATTAAAACACAACAAGACTTTTGCACATGATTGAATCACTGAAGGGCACACAGCTTCACCTTATTTACTAAGTAAAAGTTCACTTTACAATGTGAAAACTCTGCTCCTTTCAATAAATCAACCTAAGAAGCAACACATTTTATTTGTACAATTTTTCTTATTAGAAATATGCATTGTTACAAGTAATTGATTTGTGCACTACAATGTAGATAAGAACATGCTGCCAAGTGATAACATGGAAGTGTGTATATAAGACTGAAGTGTAATTAGTAGAAGGTGCAATGTCACCTTTAATTCTCTTCTGGGCATTTGTGAGACTTTACTGCAAGTAACTGTTGACTCCAGTAAGGCCTAAAAAAAAGTGTATGATCAGTGCACAAGTGTAATGCATGATCTTCCAGCATGGAAAATTACATAACTAACACCATGGAGTTCAACCAATACCAAAATAAATAAATAAGGGCTGTGTAAGTTCTGTGCCTGGCATTCCTCTCTGGAAAGTTAAATAATATATAAAGACACAAGTTCATGGAGTTGAACCAATAGAAGAATGGACCAAACAGTGATATGGATGATCACTGTTGAAATGCAGTGATTATAGGTAGCACTGATTATAGACTATTATGCCTATAAAATCTACATAGAAAAAAAAGTGAAAAGTCCATGGAGTTCAATCAATAGAAATATGAATAATTAAATATAGTGTAGAATTGCAGCATATGGACGTTCTGCCTGCGGAGATGTGTGGTCTCTATAGAAGTGCAGTGCATGGTCTTCCTGCCTGGAAATTTAAGAGACAAGTCCATGGCGTTCAACAGTAGAAAACTGAATAATCAATTGTATGATCTGTACAGAAGTGTAGTATATGGTCTTCCTGCCTGCAAAGTGCTATGTTTTCTATAGAAGTGCAGTGCATGATCTTCCTGCTTGGAAAGTTACACAGTTGGAAACAAGGCAAGTCCATGGAGTTCGACAGTAAAACACTAATATCAGCGCGGAAGTGCAGTATTTGATCTTCCTGCCTGAATATTGCTATATATGATCCCTATAGAGGTGTACTATTTGGTATTCCTGCCTGGATATATGATCCCTATAGAAGGGCAGTATATGGCCTTCCTGCCTGGATCTTGTTGCATATGAACTCTATAGACATGCAGTGCATGGTCTTCCTGTCTGGATCTTGCTATATATGATCCCTATAGAAGTGCACTATACGGTCTTCCTGCCTGGATGCATGATCCCTATAGAAGTGCAGTATATGGTCTTCCTGCCTGGATCCATGATCCCTATAGAAGTGCAATATATGGTCTTCCTGCCTGGATCCATGATCCCTATAGAAGTGCAATATATGGTCTTCCTGCCTGGATCCATGATCCCTATAGAAGTGCAGTATATGGTCTTCCTGCTTGGATCTTGCTGTATATGATCCCTATTGAAGTGCAATATATGGTCTTCCTGCCTGGATCTATGATCTCTATAGAAGTGCAGTATATGGTCTTCCTGCCTGGATCTTGCTATATATGATCGCTGTAGAAGGGAAGTATATGGTTTTCCTGCCTGGATCTATGATTCCTATAGAAGGGCAATACATGGTCTTCCTGCCTGGATATATGATCCCTATAGAAATGCAGTATACGGTCTTCCTGCCTGGATCCATGATCCCTATAGAAGGGTGGTACATGGTCTTCCTGCCTGGATATATGATCCCTATAGAAGGGCAGTACAGGGTCTTCCTGCCTGGATATATGATCCCTATAGAAGTGCAGTATACGGTCTTCTTGCCTGGATCCATGATCCCTATAGAAGGGTAGTACATGGTCTTCCTGCCTGGATATATGATCCCTATAGAAGTGCAGTATACGGTCTTCCTGCCTGGATCTTGCTCTGTATGATGCCTGGTACTTACTTACTAGGGCAGGTCAGCCTGGGATCCCTCCAAGGTGAACTTTGCATGACTCCAGGCCAGAAGATGGGTGCTCTTCCCGGTAGCTCAGCCAGGGGTTTGGGGTACCTGGACACGGCTGCTGGGTTAAAGTACATCCCAGTGGAGGTGGCGAGTCCATTAATACGAGGCAGGCTGGAGAGCAGGTTGCCGGATGCCCCCAGGGAAGCCCCCAGGGGCCTGCCGAGAATGTCACTAATCCCATGCGGTGTCCCCAGGGGGATCTGTGTGTTGAGGGAGGACAGGTTTGGGGCTTTGAAGGTGGAGGGGTTCTGTAGTGCATAGGGGAAGAGGGTGGTCTTCATCTCTGCCATATTGTGGAGAGCAGCCAGGGGGGTACTGCTCAGCACGAAGGCGCTCTGTCTGTTAGTATCCATCTGCCCCACAGCTAACATTTGTGACCATCCGGATCGGCCCCAGTCCCTGCGGAAAGCCCAGCCAAGTTCCTGCAGCGTCCAGGGAGGAAGTTTCAGGCGATCAGTGTCTCTGGAGCAATGCTGGCCTGACACGCAGCATCCGACCCCCTTCTTCGCCGCCGCCGCCGCCCTTCAGACCCTTTGCTGTTTATTTATTTTCTTTTTTTTTTCCGGTGCAAAACAATCCCGCCGGAGATGGATGTCATCCGCTGAGCTGTCCCCAGACTGAGCCGCACACATCCCACACCGGACAAGTCAGCCCCGACCAGCTCACTGATGCACTGATAACTGGGCAGCCACCTGCCAGGCCCGCCTGCTGATTGGCCGGCCCACAGCCCCAGTGCGCGCTGATTGGCCCATCGATTGGGCCCCCCTCCCGTGCTCTGCATCCCCCACGTCACTCCCGGGGAGCAGCACTAAATGAAGGTCTTATTATAAAGTCAGGTGCTTTAAATGGCTGTAAATTCAGCCCCTGATTTATCTTCCCAACGACTAAATAAATCCCATTCAATGAGATTTTAGTGAGGCTCCGGCTTTAAAAGGGAATCAGGAAAAAAATATAGCCCTGTATCTCATCAAACGGGAAAATGTAAATTTTATTGTCATTTCTGCTAAGTATTAATTTGTCTGGACTGAGAAGGGGGAAAAAAGAGGCCAGCGGCGACAAATCCATTAGAATGATGTATATAAAATAATTACACGGCAAAGCGGCGGTAAGCAAAGCGGCAGCACTTCTTAATAGCATGTATAGATCGGCTCACAATGAAGCGGGATTCATATTCATTAGGAGCTTGTATCATCATTTAGGAACACACCACAAACACTGCCATTCAATACTCATTCTTCCCTTCCATGCCTTCAATGGCCAGAAAACAACCTGTAGCTTCTCTAGGTGTAGCTTTACATTTGTATCGTGTTTACATTTATGTAAAAGATATGTAAGTTGTATTTGTCCAATGTATTGTGGGCAGTAGGTATATATATATATATATATATATATATATATATATATACACACACACACACATATATACATACGCACCACACCACAAATAGCTTCTGTATATGTAGCTTCACCTCTATCATGTGTACATTTTTGTAATAGAAATGTCTGTGTGTATATATATTGTATGTGTCCAATGTCTTTTGGACTGTATACGTGCATTTAAATATATATATATATATATATATATATACACACAATACAACCAACAACCTGTTGCTTCTGTATGTATCGCTGCACATTTGTATTGTGTATCATGCGTACTCTATGCGTGCATTTGAATCTCTCTGCCTCTGATATATATATATATATATATATATATATATATATATATATATATATATACACACACATGTATATATATATATAAAGATATATATATATTACACACACATATATATATATATATATATATATATATATATATATATATATATATATATATATATATATATAAAACAACCTGTAGCTTCTGTAAGTGTATCTATATATTTGTATTGTGCATTTTAAGTAGATAAATAATATATATTTCGAGAGAGATTACCTCATCACCTGAAGAGTGAATATTCACTTCAGTTATCCAATCATATACAGATGAAATAAACTGGAATTTGGTTTTCATGGATAAGTGAAATAAATGTTCACTTTTACTAAAGGCGTTGATAATCTTCACATTCGCACAATTGTATGAATATTTACTTTAAGTATCCAATGATGTGAAAATCAAATTCCTTGTTACGTATTTCATCTTTACAATTAGATGATTGAGGTACATATTCATATTCTTAACTCCTTTTGAAACTCAGCCCAATTGTATCTATTTCAGATTCAGGGAACAGAAAAGACAAATATCGCCCTGGATCTTATATTTGTTTCCTGAACACAGACCCCTGTGACTTCACTCTTGTAGTTAATACACACTTTTTATTTCTGTTGTCACCATATCAGTAAAGGATAATAAAATATAATGCTGGTCCTGCTAGCAATCGTGTTTTTATTGCAAGGGAGAGGCCGAAATGACCCATTCTGTGGGAACTGAGCTCAGCACTGAAGGTATGTACATTACAGTAAAGACTCAAAAGACAGTAAAGAGCAGATTGTGTATACAGCCGTCCCTGCTTCCATAGGCAGACAATGGTTCCTCATCAGTGGAGCCTTTGTTTCGACCCATCTATTGAAACCCCCCACCTCCCCCCCATACTGGAGACCCTCCAAATGGAGAGCCAGCTTGGTTTAGTAAATTGTGCCTGTGTGTGCTGAGGACAGGGGCTGTCTCACAAAATGAAGAGGACCTCCTTGAATGAGAAATTATCTGAGGTGACCTATGGTGATTCCACAGACTGACAAACTACTCCCATTAATATAGTGCTGAGATGACAAGACCCCCTGATGTCCCCAGAGACCCCTGACCCATTATAGACACACTACTATATAGACGGCTGACACACTGGGAAGTCACTCTGCACTCTCTATTTATTAATAGATCCAATGTATGACACGAGGATGCATTAATACATCTGTACATATATTACACACATTTGGCTGATTTTCATATATATGTTCAGGTGTTGTTCCCTTTTATTGTACAACTAATCCGAGTACAGCAATCGGCAGCTGCCTTCCTTCCACGTGTTCCAAGTCCTACAATTATCGCTGAATTTATTTTTATTAACCAAACATGATCATTAGGAAAATATTATATATATATATATATATATATATATATATATAAATGTTTTTCTAATTATATATATATATATTCTTAGCACTGTAGAAATTACAGATGAAGAATATTCATTAGTTGGTCATTTTGGCAGGCTGATTCCTCTCTTCAGCATCAAGGGGGAAACATACTTTTATTTTGCAACGCAACTGGAACTCGTCACTAAGCTTAGTAAATACCCAATCATATTAATGGGAAATAAAAACATAGGATTTTTTGCTCGTACATGCCCGGAATAGTTTGCTAAAGTGAACAGTCTTTACCCTTTACGTTAGACTCAATGTTAAATTAGTTTTGTTAAATAGATAAGCTGTGTTCACTTTATCCAATGGTGCTATCTAAAGATGCTGGTAAAAATCCCGTTTTTATTATTTATTTTATTATTATTATTATTATTATTATTATTATTTTATTATTATTATTAGGACATGATTGGATATTTAAAGTGAAAAAAGGGGTTTATTTACTATGAGTAAAGAGTGCAAAATCTGGTGCAGCTGTGCATAAAAACAAATCAGCTTCCATTTTTTTGTCAAAGCTTAATTAAACAAGTTGAAGTTAAGAGCTGATTGGCTACCATGCACAGCTGCACCAGATGTAATCTCCAATTTTAGTAAATCAACCCCATAGCCTCTTATTCACAGGGCAAAGTGAATCTTTCTATGGTAAGTCAATTTTGTTCCTTTATTAAATCAGCCTGGCTAGTTGTTGAAATCATGTTTCATTGCATATATATATATATATTAGATGCATAGGTATAGTTATGGGCGACACTTTAAGAGATGTGTGGAAAAAAAGAACGCTTATATGTTAGGGGCACCATCTTTGTGCCTGGGACATCAGCTGTCCACAGAGAAAAGGATTTCTGAACAATGCAGAAAATATCTGTTTTCTTGAGCAACTAATCAGGGTTCCTCTGTCATATGATAGAACCATTCTGATTGGCTTCTACAGTTAGCAGCTCGAATTTTGTACTACTGTAAAACGTTTACAGGCAATCATTGCAAACTGCAGCTGAGAATACATAGTTAGTCTGGTTGAAGAAAAGTCCATCTAGTTCAACCAATAAGAAAGAAAAAAATGTATATGTATATACACACACATATACACACACACACACACACACACACACACACACACACACACACACACACACACACACACACACCCCCCCCCCCCCCCCCCTACAGTTGATCCAGAGGAAGGCAACCCCCCCAAAACAGAAACGCATGATCAAATTTTGCTCCAACAGGAGTACAAAATCTTTCCTGATCCCCCACAGAGGCAATGGGATAATATTCCCTGGATCAACTTTACCTATAAATGTTAGTATCCATATTATGTGACTTTAGGAAGGAATCCAGACCTTGTTAATGCCATCTACTGAGCTGGCCAGAGTTCGTTTTTGTTTCTGTTACTGACTGGTTGCTATAGGTGGCAGCACATTTCCCCTTTGGTCCAGTTATTCATTCAATAAAGTACCTCTACTGCTGGGGCTTACTGGACCTTTAAAGTGGTATTAAACCCAAAACATAATATATTGCAGTTTACCTTTCATTAGATGTGGTGACTGCATTCGTTTTCTTTTTTGTTCTTTTTCCCTCTGTTTTCACTTTGTGATCTGCTCAGCATCACACCTCATGTATTAGAGTGCCCCCACTCTGGATGAAGGAGCACAGGGGCACAGCAGACAGCAGCTCACACTGCAGCTACACAAGCAGTTGTAGCAACAGTTTTTTTTCTTTTAGAATACAAGTTTTACATAAATAAAAGCTGATCATTGTAAGCACCTATGTCAATGGTAAATGGTTTGTCTCAACAGGAGAGCTTGTTCTGTTGAAACAGAAAGGAAGAAAGTCTAAAAAAGAAAACGAATGCAGCCATCACATTTAAGACTTGGTACTCTTGCAATATAATAAATGTTTGTCTTTATTACCACTTTAAAAGCCTGGCCACTGAAAAGGGAAGATGCTATTTTTGTAAAATCTCCTGTACCTGATTGGTTGAAATGAGCTCAGGTTGCCTAGCTAAGGAATAAGATGACCCCCACAATCATCTTCTATTTGTCTTTACTGATAACATGGCCATCCCTGTGTTATTCTTAATCACTTATCATTAAAGTACTTCTGTTTTACATTTTTTCTTTAAAATGAGCTCAGTAGCTGTGTGTGTGTGTTTGGGGGGGCACCCTAAACATTGTTCTTTCGGGAGGAGGGGCACCCTAAACATTGTTCTTTCAGGAGGAGGGGCACA